CACACACACACACACACACACACACACACACACACACACACACACACACACACACACACAATGAAAAACTCCTACAATTCCCTTCAGAAACGTCATTCATCTGCCAAGAAGGCTTATTTATTGGGCAGATCACAAGACAAGGCGCGACGGCAAACATCAATCTGGGCAGCAAACAATGGAACACACGCGACAAATGACACACAGACATTGCTGATAAAATGACACAGACTGCCAACGCTGAGAAATTTCTGAAGCAGGCTGCCAATGGTGACATGTTGCTGACGCAGGCCGCCGAGAGAGTCAATAGAGAAACAAGTGGAACTGCTCCTACGAATAATCCATCAAGTTCTTCAAGTACAAAGGAGCACGCAGCTGGCTGGAAAGAGATTGATTCACTGGAGTGGGTGCGCCGAGCAGCCAGTTGTCAGAAGATTGCAAGACGTACCACAAAGTTCGTTCTCCGGAGTCCGAACTAACAAACACAGACGGGACCGTCTGGAACCATCAATCCCTCTTTTGTTTCCCCCTTTCACTTTGCAACCATCATTCCTGATATTACAGTCGAACTCTGAAACAGCCACAGAGAGTCGTCAATCCCTCGAATGACAAAACCGCGCACCAGTAGACTCTGATGCAAGGTTGTCCGCCGCGGTCTGTACAGAAGAGCGCAGCATACTAATAACAGACTCCGAAAATAAAATCCTACGAACCACGAGCGCTCTCCTCCTCGGTCTAGCCATTGGTGGACGGCAATGAGCAGTTGGCCACATATGCAATCAAACTGACGACGCATAAGAAAGAAGAAAAGAGACTTCATCTCCTCAACGCTTGAGGCCTTTCCTCACTAAGCAAGCGAACTGTCTGCGACCAAGGCCGCAGGCAAACAGCAAACGATGGCTCCGTATTCGAAAGATCCGCGCGCACGCAGCAGGAGTTCAAGCGCATGCAGATGAGAAACACCCGCAGGGACAAGAAGCCTTCTGGCTGCTTAATTACTACCATGTTCACTCTAATAGAACGTACGGTCATTATCACTACATCTATAGGCCGAATGGTGCCCCAAATACAGCAAGAATGGCCGCGCATTTTATTTGGGAGAAGACAGCACTGGATATGCAGCAATGGCAGCCTCACATCCCGACCTTCCGCCTCTACATCCTGCCACAGCCGGGTCCGCTGGGGCAACGTAATTGCCTCCTTAAACTTCTTGGGGTCTTCGACGGACTTCAACTGAGTTGTTGGCGCTCGGCTGGACACACCTTTCTCCTTGCCTTTGCTCCTTTCTCCACACTCTTTTTTCTTCTCCTTTTCTCCTCCGTCCTCCTTTTGCTTCCTCGCCTTGCTTTTCACCTTGTTCATCTTCTTCTATAGACTCCACTTGCTTCATTTCCTCATCCAATTTCTTCCTCTTCTCCTCCTATTCTCTCTCTGTCTTCTTTCTTTTTCTTCTTCCGCTCGACCCTCTTCTGCTCGTCCTCATATCCCAGGTCCCCAATCTGTAGGACCTGCATCCCGGACCTGAACGTCATGGTGTGCATCTTGCACATCCGAGAGAAGCCTAGGGGGAAGAGTATTCGTAGCAGGGGCTACGATATCACGACGAGGGCAAGAAACACAAACATTGGATAGTCGTCCATGGTGTCTGTTCGGCACAGCAGGTAAGTAACCTCTCCTCCGCCTCACCACTTAAACCCTAAACCCCCAACAATTACAAATCCCTCAGCACTTGGCCTACAACTTAGGCTAAATGCTGAGGGAGTTAAATCCCTCAGCACTTGGTCTACAACTTAGGCTAAATGCTGACGGAGTTATAAGTGTCGAGGATAAGTGTAAGTGGTGAGGAGGCGGAAAGGTTACTTACCTGTTGTGCCACACAGACACCATGGACGACTATCCGATGTTTGTGTTTCTTGCCCGCATCGTGATATCGTAGCCCCTACTACGAATACTCTTCCCCCTAGGCTTCGCTCGCATGTGCACGATGCACACCATGACATTTGGGTCTGGGAAGCATGTCCTACAGATTGGGGACCTGGGATATGCGGAGGAGCAGAAGAGGGTGGAGGGGAGGAGGAGAAAAATAAAGACGACAGAGAGAGAATTGGAGGAGAAGAGGAAAAAATTGGAATGAGGAAATGGAGCACGTCGAGTTTGCAGAAGAACATGAAGAAGGTGAAAAGAAAGGAAAGGAAGCAAACATAGGAAGGAGAAGAAGAAACAAGAAAAAGAGTGGGGGGAAGCGAGCGAAGGCAAGGAGACAGGCGAGTCCAACCGACCGCCGGCAGCTGGGTTGGAGTTATTAGAACACTTTGAGAAGTTTAAGGAGGCGCTTGCGTTGCCCCAGTGAGCCCAGCTGTTGCAGGATGTAGAGGCGGAAGGCCGGGATGTGGAGAGGCTGCCATCTCTGCTGAACAGGAGAAGAAAAGATCGAGGAAGACGAGCAACAATCGCAGCAGGTACATTTTCTCCGTCTACTACCGAGTCTACTGTCACTACAGCTAGAACAATCTCATCACAAAAAAAAAAAAAAAAGCCTACCGTCTTCCCCCAGACACAACACATCCTACTCGTGAATATATAGAAACTAATTTTGCACTCCAATACCGTCAATATGAGGGTGCATTGGATTGGGGGGGGGGGGAAGATGGTGGTGGTTTTTTTCGCCAGCTCCCACTGCACACTTACCTGCCGCTTGTCAGTCAGCCAGAACTACAGCCACAGGAAGAGAAGACCTGCAGAGACACGAACCTTGTGTACTTAAACGCTTGCTGTTCATACTAGTTCTCGCTGCACCTGTCTGCGACAACTACAGCCATAACTGCTGCAACAGGGAAGGAAACAAACAGAAGAAATAAAAGAGAGGATTGAGATGGGGAATCAAAAAACGATTGACAAAAAAAAAAAAAAAAGGGACTGGGGATCAACAAGACTTCGGGTGAATCCTGCACGCAGACTCTGCTCTGACAAACAAATTTCCTAATTAAGAAGGTGGAGAATACCAAATAGATACCACTAACGTTTGGCAGTGGAGGCTAAGCACATTAATCAGCAGCAGTCAATTCCAAATGTGTGTACTTTTGTGTTGGTGAAGTTGCACTAACATCTATGCGGATCGTACAGGGAGCCCACTCAGCCAAGAGGTGGGAGGGATAAGCGGAGACGGGGAGGGGGGGGCGAGGGGATACAGAACAGGCTGCTGTTGCGGAGGGAAATCACTTGCAAAAGATAAATGAATGAGGAAATGAGCGTGACGACACGTGTGGTGGATTCCTCATCTTTCGACAAGTCTCTCTCCGCTGAAAAACCTACTCCCTCTTCAGATGAACATATTGAGCTCAGGTCTGCTATATGTGTTGTTGCCATCGTCTTCCAAGATAGGGTACACTGCTACTAGCCCATCCTGGGCGCCGATGTACAGTGAATTATAGACTTTCCAGTACACTTCCCGCACTTTTCTTGCCGGATGAAAAAGGCCCTGTCCACCACACAGATCATCACCACCAGAAAACAAGGCCCCAAGTCAAATGCAGTTTAGCAAAAACAACTAACGGCGACCATGCAATATAGACTTCCCACGTCTATACAAGTCCATCCGTCTATCCGTCCATCCGCCCGTAGACAAATGCAGTTCGCAAAAACAACGGACGAGACGAGCCACGAGTGCAACAAAAGCTCAACTCATCACTGACTAAGGAAGTTACTTTCAAACAGGCCATAGTCATTATCAAAACCACACTGACTTGGGGGGGGGGGGGGGGGAGAGAACTGACTCGGAGCTCCGATCCATTCCTTTATCAGGGCATACTCACACTAGCACTTTCATAAACGTATCTGACAGTTCTGACTGCAATTAAGGCCAGACCTAGATGCATCATCTGACTGTGATCAGGTCCCGGAGCTAGGTAAAAAAAGTCCAAGTGTTAGAGATTTGAGTGACCGTATGCATAGCATTGCATGCTGAATGGGCACACAGCTGAGTAGCTGACTGGCAGGCCTTTCGATCTGTATGAGCCAGCCATCAAATGCAGAAACGATTCTCTTTCATCTTTTGTTGACAGTTGAGGCTACAATATATATTCCTACCATCTTCCCCAAACACAACGCGCCCTCGTTTTGACTTGCATCGTACCGGAAAGGTCGCTTGTAATCCCTTTGTATACATTCATAAAAGTGAGGGTGCGCTGTGTTCGGGGGCGGACAGTAGGAAGATAGGGTACGGAGCATTTGACAGCTGGAAGGAGAGCCAGGCCTATACATTATGCGACTTGCTGGGCCGGAGCTCGTTATGGGATCGATACAATCATTCATAGGCACACGCTCCGCACAGAAACCGTCTCGTGCAATATATTGTTATCATATCATATACAAAAGCACAACGAAACCAAAGGCATGACGATGCCGGTGGAATAGCAACCGTACTGACACTCCCCAGAATGAACATGGAGCCGAAGCCGTAAACGTTCTTCTTCCCCCCTCCCCCTCCCCACAAAAAAAAAAAAAGAGAACAAATTTACGATGCTGGTGGTGCATTTCAGATACCTGACAGCAGTAGTTGAGGACAATGCATGGACCGAGCGCTACCCGCAGCCCTTCGACTGCTTCCATCACAGCATTGATGACATGAGGAGACGTTTCGAAGATATTTGGCCACACATAATTCAGAAGATGCGCCTGCACGTCGAAAGAGCAAAACAAAGTGATTGCCAATGGGCTTAGGTCAGTGGGGACCACGCCCACGAACTGTTGAAATACAGATCCAAGTAGTTCCAATCCAGATGCAATCAAGATGGACAGAACGAAGTAAAATTCTGAATTACCTAGGGCCGCTCAGTTCAATCATCATACGTCAAGCCCATCGCGGTTTTGAAAAAAAGAAAAAGGCAAAAAACAAAAAGGAGACGATTGAAGAACACCGCGCATCAATCTTTGTAGAAATATTCTCAAGGTTGTCGCCCTTTCCTAAAAAGCAAAACGAGAAAAGAAAATGGAAAAAAAAAGATGGCCCCAAGGACAGTGCTGACATGCAACATCAGAGAAAAAGAGCAGTCCGATTTTCTCCATTGTACCCATCAGTGCTGCCTCGGAATTAGTTATGTAATATGTATAGCCAAACTGTCTTTCTTTCTAGTCTGTAGACTCTGTACCCATTGGCGCTGACTTGGATTCGGTGTGTGGTACTGTGTACCTGTCGGCGTGCAAATACTTCGTGCAGCAGTCTGCCCAAGTCAGAAAGAGAACACATGGCATGGTATTCAATGTCTATCACAGATCAGCCAGCACTTTCTTCTGCTTTCCATATCAGGTTTCGGCCTTTCAGCCTCAGGTGTGTTATTATTATTACTATTATTATTTCTGGATGTTCCACATTACTGCTAAGCAGATTGAAAATACTTTGTGCAGCACAGAGAGGCTCTACCTCCCAACTTCTCTACTTCTCAAATGCCTCAAATGCCTATGCAGGGTTCACAACCTGAGGGGAATGAATGGGCCTTTGCAGGTCAAGTAGCTGGCCCACAGGCACCAGGCCATTGAGATGGCCCTCCATCCAGAGATGTGGGCCCTCGTGCCAAAGTTAGTGTCAATAGACTCAATACTTGAGGAACAGTTCTGGTGGCAGCGTACTAGCGCCTCAATACTTGAGGAACAGTTCTGGTGGCAGCGTACTAGCGCCTCCGGGAAGACAACCAGGATGTCTGCAGAGAAGAACAAACCAACATCGCGAGTAACCGAGAGAGAGAGAGAGAGAGAGAGAGAGAGAGAGAGAGAGAGCATACCAGAGCATCTTCGCATCCCAAGCCAGCAACTCCAAGAGCCATGTGCTTCACTGCTGATGCCGCAGTCTGGGGCAAGGCCAACGAAAGAAACAGTTAGCCAATACAGTAGTTGAAGGACCGGAAGAGTCCTCATCAAGGATGCCACACTTCCAGAACAAGAGTAACTGAGCGTAGTGGACACGACAGAAAAGAGAGACATTGAAATTAAATACTAGTGGTAATGAACTCCAATGAAAACCCATCACTGCTAAATACTAATAGACCGAGTAAACTCGTTGAAATCCAAGCCATTATGGAACTAAACTAACTATTCCAACAAAATGTCATCAATCCATTACTTTTTTATTTTATTTTGGTCATCAATCCATTACTAATAACACTCCGTAAACGAATTAAACTCTGAAGCCTGGCAAAAGCATGGAATCCGCCATTACCAGAATCCGTGGTCCATGGGACCACATGGAAAAAAAAATAAAAATAAAAAAAATTATAAAAACACAACTAACCACAAACGAGTAAATCAATTCAAATCAAATTCCAAGCGTCAAAAAAAAAAAAAA